TATATATATATATATATATATATATATATATATATATATATATATGTAAAAAATACATATAAAAATATATATATTTATTTGTTTATTTATCTATTTATTTATTTATTCATTTCTGTATATATTAAAGAAAAATTTACTTATTCATTTATTAGTTTTATTCATTTATTTATGTATGTATATACATTGAAAAAGAATATGCAATAACTAGTTCTCCAACAAGTGCTACTTCACAGTAACCAAAAATTCAACTTTATGAACAAGAATCTGAAACATATCATTAGCACTAAATGCAGTGAATGAATCAATCGAACATACCTTTACAGCGTTCTTTAATTCATGCACACTAACAGGGGCCAAAACAGCTTGACTACCAATAACTATGACTGGTTTCTTCGATTTTAGCACCAGATGCATCAACTTTGCGATATCGTTCTTATTTGGAAAAGTTATTCTGGCCGGTATAGGTAGCATGTCCTCTTTTATAAGCCAGCCGCCACTGAACTGTCGAGAAATATTTGCTAAGAGGTATGAGTTGACGACTGTCTAGAAAATGAATTTGAATTTAATCAAAGAAGTCAGATAAGACTTCATGAAGTATGACAAAGAACCCATTTTCTTAAACGAGAATCTACCGAAATTTTCTAGAACGAATGATTACCTATACTTTCCTTTCTTTCTACTTTTAGTACTATCACCATCTCGTTAGTAAAAATCTCATATGAATCATATAACGGATTTTAATGCTAAGATCAAATAAAAGCTCTCATTTTTTCCCTAAAATTTGCGCATCTAAATACTACAAAAAAGAAATTTATTATGAAAAGTTTTGATTAATTTTGAATATCTGCAAAAATAACTCTACAAAGTGCATCAATAAATAAATTTTTACTTGTTTGAAACTTCTGGGCTTGAAAATATTCATTTCCTTCAATACCGTTTTATATGGATAAAGTACATCAATGGGTATCTCCACAAAAACCGGACCAGGTGTACCACTCTGCGCGATATGCATAGCTTTTTTTAGGGCCATTACAATGTCTTTTATACGTGTTATTCGAGCAACATGTTTACATAATGGTCGCATTAGCGAGATTTGGTCAATATCCTTGAAAATAAATATTCAGGCATTTTCGGAATTTCGTAACCGACAAATGTGAAATTTGCGAAACAAAACTGCAGTCTAGTTGCTGGTATCGTAAGCCTATTTTAGGATGCTTATGTGTAGCAGTATGTGGAATGTTTCGCTCCATTATCACAGGATACTGGATAATCGCATCCAGTCCTGCTACGACCCTCAAATTCACCTGGGGACCCTTCCTACATAAACGAATCATGCAGGTGAAGTAGGTGAATTAATTGTAACCTGCAAAGCGCCACGATTCTTCGATAAAACTGGTGCTGCTCCCGCGATAATAAGAACAGCAGTTTCCGCCATCTGTGCATTTTTCACTGCAGTAATCGTGTTTGTTAAACCTGAATTGGAGTAGTTTGAGTAGAAAAGTAGTTAGACAACAAACACATACCATTACACTTTTCTGCTCACTAATTACACTGACGTCAGTAAACCATCCATTTCAATCCAACCGACGATTAAAACAAGATTTGAAAACGTCTGGTTTACAGTAGCTATATCCTTTTTTCCACTGATACGTCTCAACTCGATGTCATAGCTTACTCAAGTAGAACTAACATATTTAAATCAGTACTGGTACTCCCTATAGCGAAAATTACCATCGAATCGTTTAGTTATTCAATCTACAGTCAAAGAGTTCCCGGGCATCAATCCAACCTGGTCCTGCAGTAACAACAGCAACGCCAACACTTTGACGTAAGCGTGCAACAGCATCTGCCGCAAACACAGCGTTAACCTCGTGACGTGTGTCGTACACATGAATACCAAGATTTTGCGCAGCAACTAAGATCGGTGATATATGTCCGCCACACAATGTAAATATCTCGTTTATATTATGTGCCTAGAAGGTACTTAATAAAGCTAATTCTTGGAAACAAATATCCTTGGAGGTCCCATTTATCGGCTGATAAAAGATATGATTTCGGATTATACACTAGTGCATTTTATCTTTTAATACACTACTTTTCGTAATTTCCCCGATTTTTCGAGGAATAACCCAAAAAGGATATCACCAAAAATAGTTGCAAAACCGGCATAGAAGGATGACTGCTTTTCTCGAATAATCAAATTATATCACAACGAAAATTAACCTTACCTTCAATACTGCAGCAACTAACTCGCCACCATGATGCTCCGATTTCTCATCAACCTGAGTATGCAAATACTATAAATTCCATTCTGCACATAGTTAAAAATCTTTTGGCTCAGCTTTTATGGTTACGATGAGTAAATAATTATGTAGAACTTGTCATCCAACACATCCCGTAATTCAGGAACAAATTCAACAACTCATCCATTCCCTCCAGTTCTTTTTAGCACAATTAATAACTCCCAGGTAAAATTGTAACCTGGAAAAGATCCAATATCCAATGTGATCGTTCGCTCGTATACAAATCCAATAAAATCTGACGAAAAGTCTTGATGCTATCGATATCAATGATTCTGATCAACCATAGAAGGGAAGCAACGAAAATAACCAAAATTTCCACCAATAAAAACATCATTTTACCTCCTACCTAATTCTTGGCCCTGAAAATACCCGACATTGGGACAAGTAGTGATTCTCCAGAAAAGAAGAAAAAACCTCAAACCCCGGGATATAAATAAGATCGATATATCGTTTCAATACTTATAGCATGCAATAAGTGTGCAACAATGCTTTAGATGGAAGGAGTTGTTTGTCGGTGTGTCCTGTATCCGGGAGATATCGGGGTGTGAATCGTAGTCATCGTTGCTGCTTATCGATTTGCGCAAGGAAGAAAAGGAAGATGTGAAATGCTCAGTGTACTACTGTAATAATTAACCAACCACTACGTAGCAAATACAACCGCTTGACAAAGAATAAATTTGTAGTGAACGAGTCGTTTCAAGAGGAGCACTGGCTGGCGCTGATAACCAGCAAACTATGTGGAGTGCTTTCATTTTTTAACCATTTTTATAACCAGATCAGGATTTGTTTCCGGTTAGTATAAGGGGAAGTTCAGTCAGTTACTCCCAATTAAACAATGAAAAGAACGGGGCAGATAACGATTATGCAGCTTGGAATTTGAAAAATTTTGGAATTTTTCACAAATTTCAGCATAGATATTTGTTGGTTAGTTAGTTCGCTGGATTTCGTTACTCAGTTGTTCAATCGGTATTGTCATTTAGATTTAAAAAAAGTATGAAGATTGCAGAAACTTTAAATTTAACAATTTCAAAGGAGAAAAACCACATGAATGTAAAATTCTAAGATATGACGAACCTTTCAGATGTTTTTACAGAGTTCCAATTCGAATAACGGATTTTTAATTTTTGTCTTCGAAGTAATTAAACGTAATTCTAGCCACTAAATCAATTCTTGTAAACATGAGTAACGTTTGTCTTTTGACGTATTTGAGTTTACTGTCCTCTACGGCTAACAGTTATACTGATGTGTTGCGGATGGATTATTATGGTCTCCTGGTTTCATCCTATGTTTTTTAATTTGTTCCACCTCAGCTGATACTTCCGTCGTATACAGAAGTACTAGCTAGCGGCTATGAAAAAAAGAAACTACATACCGTGAATACTTCCGAACATGTTCATGTGTTTAAATTTTTCCGATGTTGACCCATATTCCATCTGTTCCGCTCTCCAAATATGCTAATATTCCTTCCATCATTTTCATATTCGATACTGGATTTTTACAAATATTACTCAATCAAAAATGCAAGCAAATAATTCATTCAGAACGTTTTGTTTTCCAAGATAAGAGAAATAAGATTGGGGATACAGTTCCCGATTGTATAAAAAATACGGCAGAGAGAAAGACTGTGAGAGAGAAGACGTAGGATCAGCAGGGAACACGGGGACATTGAATACGGAACCAATAAGGACGAAACGGATAACTGTAATAAAGTTATCGGTATTATAACAATAGTAATATAATAATAACA